TGAGAACCTTTTTCCTCTGCCTTGAAAGGGTTAAAAAGCGTTTCATATATAATAGACTCTGCATTAAAGGGTGAAATGCTGCATTCCATTATTTATTTTCTAAGCTAAGATCCACGATTTTGAAAAAAAACTCGTGTTTTGCCTATAGTGCGTCGCCTGTGGGCATTCTTTCATATATGTATGTATGTGCCATTTCTACCGTTATATATTTTTTGTCTACTCGGTTATTCCCTGGGGAATTCATGCTTTATTTAAATTTAAAAAATTAAATTACTACACCATTTTAATTAATTAGTGTGTAGTCCAGTTTTGTTTTGTAGAAGTTTCGTTAGTACACACTTAAGTTTTTACACATTGAATATATCTGCATATTTATATATTTACGCGGTTGAAAACCGAAATAAAGCATACATGCACAGTTTCGGTTGAAACCGAAATAATGTCTAAATGCACAGTTTCCAGATGCGCAATTTCGGTGCCCCGTCTACAAAGACATAACAAGTCACACATTATTTACTCCTTGGGAAAATCGAAGAAAATTTTTAGATTTATACTTACTTTCCTCCCACATCTAAGTATCTTTTACCGGTGGTCCTACAGCATTTAAACGTTTGTTAGCCTCTCTCATAGTCTATTACCCATAAATTCTGTCATTAAGTTTGTTGAAATACTACGTCTTAAGATAAAGGAGCTACCTAAATATAAAGTATGTATCTATATGTATTTAAAAAAATTCAATATTTTAATAATTAAATTAAATTAATATTTTATTAACAACGTTTTTTTACCTGAGTACCTGAGGAAACATCAAAAGCCTAAATCCAGCATCGTCAGCGTGAGACTTTAACTTCTTAAATCTTCTTCCTGTAACCGCTTAAAAGGGTTAATCAACCGAAAGAAAAGATTATTGGATCACGAATTTCCGAGATCCAGTGTACCAATAATAGCAATACTTGGTATGGCTTGTCGGATGTGGTAACATGAAGTCGTTAAACTGAGTCCACAACGAGGAGGAAATGTGGGCTAACGCACGTCTGTTGTTCTATTATTAGAGATGCCATTGTGAAAAACGAAATCACATTAGCTTTAATCAAATGATTGGACAGTCCCCCGAGACCCCTGCAGATCCTGTGTCGCAAGGTCGAGGAGATACACGGCATTAGTCATCTCATGAAGATCGTTCCCAACGCTGGCAGAAAAAGAGATTATATTAACCGATTTCGATAATTCTTTTTCTGGTACCTCAGGCGAGGTCCCATACTAATTTGGTTTGGATCCGATCATTGGATCATGAAGAAATTAACGTTACTTCTAAATTTTTATATGAGAATTGAAGTCGGTTGTGTTTTTTGCTTAAAAATTACTTGTGTAACAATTGAGTTTTACCGAGCCCTACAAAGGAATTTATATTGCATAAAGTTTATTATTGACTTATTGAAGAGTTAAAATACAAATTTGTTAGTTACCTTAGTTGCATACAAATTTTAAAATGCGACTTCAAGTTTACACCAAAATCGATTACTTGTTTATTTAAACAATAGTCTGCGAGTGTCTTCTGCAAATCGATAAATTGTTTAGTGATGATTTCATTTTTGTGTTTTCTACAAAACCTCTGTGATCGCTAAGCATACCTTAACCTAAATTCAAGTACAAACAAGGAGAAAATATTAAAAGATAATAATTATTTTACCTTTTTTTAAGTAAATGACTGTTTATCAGACTAACAAAAGGAAGTTGAAAAGGACGTTCACAGTTTATTAAATTATCGAGGAACAACCAGCAGTTTAACAAAACTACCGGAATGTAAAGACACCCAACGTTTTAATTTATTGCATAAATTTTTCGAATTGGAAATTGATTATGAATTTATAGAAAGAAACTTACAATGAGACTATGTACCTGTGTACCTGTTTACGCCCATGCTTCCACGGGTTTGGACGGAATTATACATTCAGCCATACTCCAACGAACAATTGTCACAATAACTGCACCATGTAGTCAGAAGTCAACTTACCTTATGCGGGCGGGAGTTTACCACTTCCGTTTCTAAAATATTCTTGACAAAAGAAAAAAGGATCAATACAGCGAATTTGATTTTTAATGGATATTTTATATCCCCTTTATTTTATTTTTCTTTTATTTTAATTGTCATAATAGGTTCGACTATATCTAAACTCAATTATTAGTTTTCATTTGTGTGTGTTTTCCTACAAATCTTTTTCGCTTTTAATTTTTTATTTTTATTCATCTTTGTTGGTTTATGCCCTTCATTAAATAAATTTTTTTTTTATAATTCCATACTTTATGTACGTTTATGTATGTCTGTATTATGTTCTGGTTTGTTTGTTTGTTACTTCTTCAATTATATATTTATAATTTGTACTTTATAGGTAAACATCTTTATCGTCAATACATAGATTTTATATTTCCTCTCTTCGCGCCATAGTATGTATGTATGTATGTGCTTGTATATTTTCACGCTGTTCGATGAAAATAATACACGTGTAAGTTTATACAAATGCTGCTTTGCTTGGAATTCACTCAATCCATAACTAAGCTAATGTACGGAGACGTTTCTAACCTCACTTGCGGCACGACGTTCGACTATCAAAACAACTCTGGGCCAATATTCTTTAATACACATTTTACTTTGTGACTAATTGCATTCACATAGGCGGATTTTTACATATTTATTTTATGTATGTTTCGTTTAGCTATGCATCTTTTATGCTTTTTGTATGCACTCTATTTTGGGCATGTTTGACGTAGCAAATAAAGTCGCCGTGAAAGGATCCAATTTGTCTAGCGGTGATATTTATTGGTTTGCTTATTTCTTAAGTAAGTATGTATGTATATGTCGCATGGTTTTATGGGTTGTTTATGCTACAATGTAGGACTTATGTATTTTTTACGGAGCTATTTATTTATAAGGAATCCAATTTTCAAGCATTTTAATTACACACATATAAAGACATTTTAACCCTATAATAATGCAAGTATATGTATCTGGTCATAAAATTAAGGAGGTTTCTCTACGTACATACATTATGCATAACAGTATGGGAATTGTGTTTATATTTTGCTGTTTTTTTTAAATTTATTTTTTTCTTCAATTTCGTTTATTGATTCCGCGACCATATTGTTCGCATTGCGGGTGGAGCGCTCTACTTAATTTGTTGTTTATGTTTCTATGTATGTTTATATAGTTCATAAAACTTTAGTTTTAATTGAAAATAAAAAAAACGAATTTTTTGCACATTTATCGCTTCTAATTTAAAAGGTGTCAAGGCTGTAAAATTTCTGTATCATAAACGTATTATCCATTCGTTATGATCAGACACCATACATTTTACTTTTAATCGTTTCTAACTACAATTGCCAAATGATAAATGCAGATTCTCACAATTTCCAATTTTTTTTAAATTTGTTTTTATTCGTTCATGCCGTGTAACATAAAGCGTACAAATCTTTTAGGGGATACTTATAAAAATACTGATCATATACATATTTATGTATGTGTTTGTACATACATATGTATGTATGTAAGTAATTAATTTACCTACTGATTCCTTTTCTCGCAGTTCCTATTTTAACTTCTACCCATGATTCTTATATTTTGTTCCTTTTTTTGTATCACAAATATCAAGTTTTAATATTTAATTTTACTCATTAGAATTATCTTCCTTATTAGATGTTTGTCTTAAGTAGAGACAAATGCAAGATTTACTTTTAAATTTTATATTCGCCCTTTTTTTTACTTCTTTATTTTAAATTTTAACCTGATTGTTAGGTATATAACTAAAAACGATGTACTAAATTGCGTTAAAAATTTTTTTTGTGGCCAATAGGCCGTCCCATCTTACAAGCAAAAAAAAATAAATAAATACAAATGCTGTATACCCCTAAAGTAATTTTGCAAATCCAGTTTCAAATAAATGTTCCTGAAATGATCCCAACATGGTTCTGAGCTAGCCCCGAAATAGTTGTGAACTAGCTAGTTTCCACATGGTCCTTAAGTTGACCCAAAATGATACCGAACTAGGCCTAGAATAGGTCCATAACTAGCCCGAAAATTTTCCTTAAAGTCTCGAAATTATCCCGAACTAAGTAGTTCCCAAATTAACGTAATACAGCACTGAGCCAATCCCGAAACGATCCTGAAATAACCCTGAACTAATCCAGAAATGTTATTAGTACACACAAAAAGCAATTACAGATTTTCTGCTCAGTTAACGCAGTTTACCCATACCGAGAGCTATGATCTTTCCACATCAAACTCCTTTTTCCGAAATTGTCTCCACGAGACAAGAACATTGATATATCATACTTTAAGATGCGACTGTAGATCCCGAGCAACATTCGGCAAAAATATTTTACGGCTCAAGGGGTACGGGGAACATTATCTTTTTTGTAGGGTCTAGTGGTCATTGTACCTCAACATTTTAACGAATTTTGTTATTTTTTGCACTTTCTAAAAGTGCTCAACACCCAAGTATTCTCAGATGATCTGAAGACGCGGTTTGGAACATGGATGCATACCTTACACCAAGGACCGGCTGTACTTTATCGATCATATGTTATATGCATGATATCGAAAACGCCATAATGATGTTTAACTGGGAGGTAGTGATAACCGGACATTAAGCAAACAGTCCTTAGATTTAACAAAGCGCTATTATCACGGCTGCACAGGTCGCCTTCTTAGTAATCAGTTCGGTGTTATGAGTACAACTGAAAAGCTTGATGTAGAGTTGCCGCCTTATAGCCCATTTAAGCATACTTGCACTGCTTTACCATTTTTACGTAGAAATCAAAAACCAACAGACTTCTACGTATGTAATGCTGTGCGTTGGGTAACAGCTTACACGCGAAGCTCATTTAACAGATTCCTTATGTGACAACTCTCATGCAACGCTAAGTATGCATAACAGAGCCTTTAGCCTTACAACATATAAGTAGACGACGAAACTAGCCAATGCTACCAAGTTTTTCCGTTTCAATACAGGCAATGCCATGCAATATTCGATACGAATTGACTCTCGAAAAACGACTTGCCTCTACACGACACTCTCAATGAGGCCGATTGTACTATTGTATCCTACACTATTGCGACAGAATCAAGTGCTGATTTGCTTATGGATTTCTTGTCTTTAAACCAGTGATGGGAATTTTCACATTTTCTAAAAAAACTGCGAGCTGCGACGTCTCGACACCTACTCACCCCAGTCGGGTCTACATAACCGAAACGACCCAGGACGCAACAGCATTTGAAAAAAAAATATAATAATCACTCTTATAGTTTTCGTCGGAACGAATATTGACCGCGCGGAAGATCGTGTCACTGGTGTCGATTTCGATAACTATGTATATAACAGACAACAGCANGATCTAAACAGTATGAACTCATTGCTGTGAACTCTATAAGGTTAGTGAGAAACACCGTACAAACAGTGAGATTCATAGTTAGTTTTGAAATCAATGTTTAGCTGCAGTGTACTCATTTGATTTCAAATATGGCATTGATATACTCTTCCGAAATCAAGTCAAGCGAGTGAAAAATGCTGTAATGAAAAGCAAGTCGAGCAATCGAATGACACCCATTGACTTCAAACAATTAGTAGAGAATTTTGAAAAAAATTTATATTGATGAAGTATTTTTTTAAATATATTAGGTTTACTAAATTATTTAATTATCCACCTGATGTACATTTATATAACTAGTCTACAAAAGAAATGCAATGTTACCTCAGAAGACATCGGAAAAATAAGTTGATTTATTATTTAAAAACAGTTGCTGTTGAAAACTAACAGATTTGCACAAAACTGTGCTTTTTTTATACCCGCCAGCAAAAGAGCTCAAGAACTTTACCGAATCTGAGCAAAGGTACACAAAAGAGAAATGTTTACAAATTATGAGAACGTTAACTGAGAATTCTGACAGGTCAACGGAACCACAAATTACGGATACACCTTTGTTACCTTCAGACAACTTTGAGCTGTTTTCAGGTCTTCTTAAACAACCTACCTTTGTGAGCAGAACTGATAAAGCTACTGCAGAGCTGCGGCGATATGAAAATATTGAGGTATATTTTCATACGGACTTCGATATAATTAATTGGTGGGAGGTACACAGATGCAAAATGCCGCTGCTGCATAAACTTAGTCGTCGAGTAATAGCCACTCCTTCAACTAGCGCATCGTCAGAAAGAGTTTTTTCTTCTGCTGGAAATGTTATTTCTGACAAAAGATGCCACCTTTTGTCAAATGACGATGCCCTTAACCAGTTGATATTTTTGCATTATAATATGCAGTTAGGAAACCAATAAAATTAACAAAAATTGTCTTTACACATGTTTTTTCTTTGATACTTTCATTACAACAGTTATGCCATGCACTTGTTTTTCAAATCAAGCACTTGTTATTTGAATCGAGCACTTGATAGTGTGAATTACTCACTCAACCGACAATGTTTTTTCAATGCTATCGCACGTTATGTTTGGAAATAAATGAGTGCGAGTGTGTGCAGATGTGAAAAGAAAGCGAGTGACTTAAAATGTAATTTGAGTGTATCCATGCAGCTCTCTGGTATATAATAAAGAAAGCATGTTTGCTCAAAAACCAAAAATACAATGGAAATTAACACACAATTTCAATCAAATTTATCGATAAATTGTAGTGTCGCCGCAATATGGTGACCACAGACCGATTTAGAGTTTAAGTGAAGTTTATGTCGACGCACAGTAGTCGGAAAAACCATGTTTTACGCGAAAAAGGCATATTTTAAAACTGTGATAACTATTCTTATTCAACGAACTCAAAACTGATTAGGATTTTCAATAGTATCTGCTGACCAAGCCGTTGAATCCGTTTAATTCAACGAGTTCGATTGTGGCACGTTCTAACAGTTATGAGATGATAGATTTCTTTACAATTTTTCAAGGAAACTTTCAATTATAACAGTAATTGCTGGTTTGGTGTCATTTCTTAAACATGGAAAATAATGATTTCATATGAAATATTACATAATAAAACTTGGTTGCTAAATTATCAACACCCTAATAACACGGCTTATTTCTCAAGAAATATTTTCTTCAAAAAGGTATAACTAATAAGTAGAGCCGAGTAGGATCTTAATTCCTTTACCAAAAACTAACGCAAAGGTACCTTTAACCCTGGACGTGCTTCGTTAGTCGATTCGACTAACAAAAATCTTGTTTCGCTTCGTACCTCTCTCTGAAGTCATTTACCATTTTGTTTATTATATGTAACAGAGAAAATAATATGTATTTAATATTTTGTTTATGTGTTTGAAAAACTATAAAGAACTAAAATTCATAAAATGTATTTTCGTTTTTAACTCTTTTATGTTTGTTATTTCAAATCAAAGTTGGTGTTAGTCGTTTCGACTAACAAGCCCGCAGACAGGGTCAAAAGAGCGAAGCACTTCCAGGGCTAAGAATCTACGAAAGGAGACCCGCGCATACTCGCGCCAAAAAGAGTGGCGAGCACCACTTAGAAGTTGTTCCAAATAACATAAACCGTATTAAAATATTAAATATTAATATAATGTATTCTTTATTTAGCATCATATCATTTATAAGAGGTGTCTTAAAAACTGAAGCCAATTTTCAAAAATCCAATAAAGAATTTAATATGGCGTCCGAGAATTTAAAAAATTACAGATTTCCTTTTTTAAGTTCGCTCATTACAAATTTCAAACTAGTTTTTGAAATTTCCAAAAACTCAAACCTGAGTAACTTTATTTAAAAATGAGAAAACTGAAGTTTTTGAAAATTACAAATTTTGTATAAAATAAAAAAATCTTTAAAAAACTGTTGCGGCCTAGATCAAATTGTCTGGACTGAACACATAGCATACGGCCCCAACAAGCCCTAATTAATAAATATAATAATGAATAAAATTCTGCTAAACAAATATATTGTGTTACTCAATTGAAAATGACAGTTAATTTGACAGCTGTCAATCGAAAAAGTTGGAATGTGATACAGAACTCGAGATCTGTGAGCCTTAAAATATAGTACATACGTTTAACTCTTGGGAAATTTTCGTTATTTCTAATTGACAGCCCCTTCGACAGTCGTAAACTCTTTAAAGTTTTAATTTGACACAAATTCGTGATTAGCATATTTGCTTATTTTTAGAAAAATTCACAGTTTATTTGACAGCTGTCAACTCTCAAAGTTTTAATTTGGCATAAAATTCGTGATCAGAATGTCTAAAAACCTAATCAGAGGCATTTCTAAAATCACTGTCTTATTTTTAGAAAAATACACAGTCCATTTGACAGCAGAAAACTGTCAATGTTTCAATTTGACATGAAATTCGTAATCAGCATGTCAAAAAACGCAATCAATGGTATTTTAGAGAAACTGGCAATTGATTTCACAGCTCAACTGTCAAACCATAAATTTTATAGCATAAGCGGATTTAAAATTACAACAATACTACGATCCCGCAGTTTTATTATAATCGTAACAGCCCTTCTAATTATTCGCGTAAAACATGGCTTCTCCGACCACTGTGCTACATTGGCGAAAATATGACAACGACGTTGATGACGACAATCATAATATGGTCGGACGGGCTATATTACGTGCGTGCTTTATAAGTATGTATTTTCGATTAAATTGATACCAAATTAAACATTTATCGCACTCCAACTCTAATTGATGAAAATAAAATTTGGGTTTAATAATAATAATAGATTGGCGCTTAAACATATGTTAGTGTGAGTTTTTATTGTAGATTGATAATTTTTTTTATCACAAATCGATTTCAATTGCATTTATAAACGCCACACTGTTGTCTATTTCGCAAGAATAATCAAAATTAAATTATACATTTCAATGGGAATTCAGAATGTATTTTTATTCTTAATTGAGAGCAGCGTGCACACGTACATATACGATGAAATAACGGTACAACAAACTAGTTTGCTTTTTTTCATGCCGTTTTTGGAACTTGAAAAAAAATGTCGTAACGATTACTTAAAGCATAAATGGCAGCAACATCATTAAGAATGGCGCACAGCACACTTCAAGAAATGATTTTTTTAACTTCACTAGAACATACCTCTCGGCCATACCCAAATCCGACCAATATCTCAACAAAAATTTTTTTTCTAATAGCGGCCGCCCTTTGGCGGGCAAAGGTGGTATATGTATTTGCGCCATGAGAAAGCATCTATCGGACGAAAGCGGCCTTAAGGTGTAGGTCCTTCCACAAGTTGTTTTGTTTTTGATATTTTCAAATAAGCCATAGTGCATAGACCTGACTTTAGAGCCTTACTGTAGAATATACAAAGGATATCAGTATCACTTAGGACCAAGGCACATTGAACAGGTAGTGCCAGTAGAGCAGCTCATTTGAAATTTTTCAAATTATTTGATCTCGAAAATGTCAAATATGTCAAACATTTTCAAAAAAATTCTAAAAAATCTGATTAAAAAGTTGAAAATTTTGATGAAAATTTGCTGAATTTTCGCAAGTTTTGCACCAAGTTTAGGAATTATATTTTTTTTTGTTTTTTGTTGTCGAATGAACCATATTTTTATACAAAATTGGCGGAAAAATATTAGAATAAAAATTGTCTCATATATTGTGAAAAATTTGCTGTGCCAATATTTTCCTCCGGCAAGTGTACGTTAAAAATGCGTACATATCGTGGAAAGGCACATTAGATTTGTTTCTGTACAAAGCAGATGCACGTACATACGAAATAGATATGTTTCTATTTCATCTGACACACAGATAGAATAATCTAAGTTTAGTTTATTTCGTTTTCAAAGTACGTATTTTTAAATAGTTAAATAAAGACTGTGAATTT